CCCCCCCCCCCCCCAGCCTTAAATAATGTCCCTCTAGCAACAAACTACCCAATTCCTGTTCTCACTAAGGCATGAGGCCTTGCAATGGACCCAGTTTGTCAGATGTGCCACCTGGGGTTCATTCATTTGCTCCTCTACCAACATTGTATGTCATCACCTGCTTACACTGCACTTTTGCTGTCTACATTTGGCAGATGGGGCAATCCCTACATAGAAGAATGAATGGACACTGTGACTTGATATCGGTTCCAGAAAAACACACAAGCATGTGGCAGAACACTTTAACCTCCCTTGACACTCCATTGCTAACCTCCTAATAGCTGTTTTTCACACCAAAATTTAAAAAATAATTCAAATGCAAAATTGCAGAACAAGAAATCATTCACAGGCAGGATTATGTTAATGTGGTCTCAACAGAGACTGATGTAGTAGGCTGTGGCCTTCCTGAACAAGTTAATACTGCCCTGCCTTCTGTCTATACTAACTAGTATAGTTAAAAAAAGAAAATCCCTTTCCAGTCCAGAGGCAGCTATACTAGTTCAAAGATGCCTTACACTAAAGCAACTTACCCTGCATGGGAAAAGGAGGAAGTTACACAGATAAAAGGCACCCTTATATTAATGTAATTATGCTCAAGATAGAGCTTGCAATGAATAACTGGTTTGTTTTTTTAAAAAAAATCTCATCTCCAACAGAATACAAACCTCATACTGGTATGACGATGGGTAGTAGATAGGTATAAGTTGAGAAAATTCCAGTTGAATTTAAGATGGTTTGTGTACAGTGTGCAAGAAATCATAATGATCATTAACATCTTTGTTCCTCAGTGCATTAGTATGCTTATAACAAGAAATTCATTTGTTATTTGATCTCATATTCTTGACGGTTTGCAGAAACAAATAATTGTTATGGAGCCATTTTGCAATCAAATCTTCTTTTCTAGGACAAAGAACATAAGTGTTCCTTGGTTTGTGGACGCAAACTTAATTGTGGCCTTCATAGATGTGAAGAACCTTGTCACCGTGGCAACTGTCAAACATGCTGGCAGACAAGTGAGTAAAATATATGTACTGTAAAATCAACTTAAAACCAGTAAGATATATTCATTTACATCAGTGGTCATTTTGAGTGCATTATTTTTCTTAAGAAGTTCCATACTGATTAATGGAGACTATTTAATGTTGTACAATAGGTAAGAAAATTATTTGATTGAACTAGATGGACCTGTTAGATGTTGGGTTTAATAGCTGCACTATAATATCTTCCTTTAAATTGCATTTAAATTTACTTAGTTTAAAGTGCTGATCAGACAGACTGTAAAAAAAAATAAAATTAAATGAACTTTACAAACTAGGGGCCTTTGAGATTTAAGGTCCTAGTAGTAGATTATTTTCTTTTTAAAATGCTGTGTTTATGAAAGATATTAGATTGAAAGCTGTGTAGACAGAAGTCTCTTTAGTCACAACATGAGAGAGCACTAATTTTCTCATAATGGCCCGTTGGCTTGAGTCAGGTCTGAAGGGGCAGCCAGTTTCATGCCTAGCATGCAAATTTTGAGGTCTTATGGAAACTTCTCTTGTCTCAAACATCTGTCCACTTGAAACTGGACTGGATTCCACAAACTGCCATTGGGAATAATTTTTGGTGACTCTTACTTAAACTCACACAAATTCAGGCTGATCTCTTGAATGTGTCAGCATCTTTGTTATCTGTCCCTATGTTTAAATGAACTAGATTACTTAAATTAGCCTTTAAATTATCATAAATCAAAAATTAAAACTACAGAGGTTAAGTCAAAAAGGGGCCTTCATAGGTCATCTAGTTTATATCTTTCAATTCATACCACTTCTTTACATTAAGGTTAATTGTTAATTCTGTTATTACTTTACTCTTCAGTTAAAGTAATTACTTTACCCTCTGGTTAAACCAGGGGTGGACCAAATGTGGCCTGTGGGCCAGATACGGCCTGCCAGGCCATTCTGCCCAGCCCACGGGGACTGTAAAAAATTTAGAAAATTAATATTTATCTGCCCCTGGCTGCCTGTCATGTGGCCCTTGATGGCTTGCCAAAACTTGGCCCTCTGCCCAAAATAATTGTCCACCCTGGGGTTAAACAAATGTCTTATCCAGTATCTTTATAGATGGTGTCTTAATTACCTCTTTACAGATTTATACCCTGTAGCTCAGTGATTTCCAAGTGGTGTGCTGCAGCGCACAGCTGCAGAGCTGTTCTAGGAAAAATAGGCTAGGGTGCCCCTGCTGGGCAGGTGCCACATAGCAGGATTGGCCCCCCTGCTGGTAACTAAAATGTCACTAGGGACCTACTTAATTTGTGATGAGACAAAGGAATTTTTGCAGCTTGGTTGTGACGCAAGGTAACTTTGTGGGCCTTTCCCGGTGGATGTGCCCCGTGCTGCTGATTGGCGGGGAGGATGGACAAGAGGGTGGCTGCCATCTTGACTGCTGGCTGCCCTTTGTGCAGCCCTGTCCCTTGCTGCTTCTAGGCTGAGAGGGCTCCCACTGGAGAGTCAGCATTTTATTTGTATTAAGTTGTTTTTTTTTTAAGTTGATTTCACAGAGAGTTGCAGGTTTCACAGTTTGTGCAAAATTGCAAATTAAGTAGGTCCCTAAACATCGCCAGTTCTGATCTAGAAGAAAAGTGTGCCCTAGTATCAAAAGTTTAAGAAATACTGCTGTAGCTGTTGTTATTCTTTTGCTAAAAGACTGCATCTGCCATTGGGGGATGAGGGGCAGGACAGTGGGAGCTGGTGAAACACTAGCAGGAAACATTTTGCAGCAAAGCAGTGCCTATATCAGGGAGGTCTGCTGCTATAGCTCTGTTGCTGTAGTCATGGTAGCAGCAGTCTTATAGAATAGTTAGGGTTCAGATACATAACTATATATAGTCTAAAAAGTCCAAAGATCTCTAAAATTCTGGCACAGTCCTTCCTCTCCTTTTCGGTATAATGTACCTGTCTTTAAACTATTCTTCCTGATCTGTTCTACTTTTTTACTTGACTCTTATTTACAACCTTTGCATTATTTATTTTGTCTTGTTTTCTATATTTAGATGGATTTAAAATATCCTTCATCCCAGTTTGTGAAGTGTTCTGTTCATTGAAACTTCACAGGCATTGTGGGGGGAAAAAATTCTAAATAAGCTATATAGCACGATCCATTGCTCTCAGTTCCCTTTAGCACCAACTCATTTTGAACGTATGGTGAGCCAGTACATGGCATACATTTTAGACTTCCTTTTCATTCCCACAGCTGAGCTGTGTCTTTCTTTCCTGTTTCCAGTGACTCCTGTTTCTTCTCCAGCTTTAAATATCTGGCAGACATCAACAAACAGAGCCCCAGAGTGTTCACCCAGCATCTCTGTCTTGCCCCCTCTTTCAGGCTCTTGCATATAATTTGTATGGCCCCACCCTCCATGAGGTAGAGCTAGACCAGGTTGCCCTGCACCTCATCTGCATATACATTTTTGGAGGATCAGGACAAGAACACCCGATTCCGGTCATGAATAGGGGGCTAGCTAGCAGAAGGATCCTTTATGGGGGTGGGGGGGTATCTGGAATATATACACATACTGAGCAGTGCTGAGCTGCGGGGTCACCATGGCTTGAAATGCTGTTGACTCTGTTGGGGCCTGCCCAATGAACGATGTAATAAATCCTGAGCCTTTTAGTTTTGGACTAATATAATTAATAGATTTCATAGACATTAGGTCTGGAAGAGACCTTGGAAGGTTGTTGAGTCCAGCTTCCTGCCCCAGGGTTGGGAAGTCAGGTAGGGTCAAAGGATCCCAGCAAGGTAGGTGTCCAAATGCTTCTTAAAGTAGTCCAGAGTAGGTGCTTCTGCCACCTCTGGAGGCAGTCTATTTCAGGCCTTGGGGGTTTAGACAGTATAGAAGTTTTTCTTATGTCCATCCTGAAACGGTCATGGAGGAGTTTGTGACTGTTTGACCTGGTCATCCCTTGGGGTGCTCTGGTGAACAGATGTTCCCCTAGATCCTGATGTACATCCCTTATATCTTATAGGCAGCCCTCAGGTGACCCCTGAGCCTGCGCTTTTCCATATAACATATTAATACTGACTGTTCTTCACTGAAAAACTCCCAACTTAAATCTCTAGAAGCATTCACTGCCCTGCTCACAGAAGGGCAGCCTCTGATCAAAAGTTTGATTCAGGTTACACTGGATATAGCAGATACATTGTTGTGAACGATGGTTAAGGATTTTTAAAGATTTTCTTTATTTAAATATTTAACATTAATACAGGTTATACAATATCCTCTTGAACGAGAAAGCATTTAATATTATATGATGAATGTCGTCCATCTTGATAATGAGTACTGGGCACAAATACTTATTGATCAGTTCTATTGTTTGTACCATTATTTGCAGCTTAATTTTCATCTACAAGTGGAGCTATAATTGTGGTCAGGATTCCTTTTGTTCTTGGTATTTTAAAACAATTCTTCTTACTAACTAAAATATTTGATAAACTAATATTTATTTCTCTTGAGTTATCAGTTGCCTGTTTTAAACTTATTGTCATCTATGTTTCCTTTTTCTGTTGATATTAATTTTATTCTTTCTTTGCTGCTTTCTTCTGCTTTCTTAAGGGGGATGTTGTTAAGCAAAGGATCATTTTCCCCCATTAGGTAGGGATTCTCTGACTTCTGGTGTGTCATATTGCTAAACAGTGTCTGATACGAGGTTGTTGCAAGACTTGCTGCTCTTTTGATCAGCCTGTTCACACTTGAATAAACTGTAGTTTTGAGTTGTTATGGTTTTGTCTGTCTCTCTTCCCCCCACCCCCCAACAGGTTTTGATGAACTGACTTGTTACTGTGGTGAATCTGTGATTTATCCCCCTGTTCCTTGTGGTACACAGCCACCAGAGTGTAAAAATCCATGTACCAGACCACATGAGTGTGATCATCCAGGTAAGTCATAGGTAGTCCTGTATAACTTTTTAAAACTGGCAAACCAGTGCAACACATTTAGGTATACTTGCCTATATGTTTCCTTTTTTTAACATGAGGAGCTATTTTACAGATTCTGCAGTAGTTGTAAAATACTACCAAAAGGTCTGTGAGTTTATATTAAAACAACAAACTTTCCATAATACATACTGTTGTGCTTTTCTGACAGTCTAAAACATTGCAGTTTTACACATTATCTGAGATCTTTGAAGGTTTTTGGACACTAACAAAACACCTGTTTGAATTTGTCATTAGATGCCATCTTTAAAAAAAAAAAAAAAAAAGCACAATGGTGCTTACCCCTGTCAACCTAAAAGAATACCTCTGTTCTGTATCTGCAATATTCTGTCAGCAATACAATCCAGGCATTGTTTTCTTTTTTTAAATTTGCCTCAGATTATAATTAATATTACTTGATGCAAAAAGTAGCGCAGAACAAATTGATCACGTTTCTAGCATATATTTCCTTATGCTGTCATCTAACGGTATCAGGGAGATACCCATATAGCCATTCCATCCAGTCCACAGTGATAGTGCCAAGTTGCTGGAAATCAAGGGCATACCATACTGTGGAATCTGAGGACGTGGTCATTGGCAGCAAGTGTGTGAGCAAGGGCTGTATGAAACAGGTCTCAGTTGCCATGCAGTCACCTGGCCAATTGCCTCTTGTGCACCTCCATCACAATAAGCAGCTGCCTGGACCATGCTTGCTTGCCCCACTGCTGGTGTGGTGTCTGCTGCTGCAGTGACCACAGCCATCTCCACATAGTTGGGATCCAGTCCAGAGCCCCAGTTGATTTTGACACCCCTGCTCTAATTTATACACAACCCAGTCTTATATCCTACTGTCCAGCTGAGGAGATGGAGGAAGGAATTTTCTTGTAGCAAGCTTTTCAGTCTGATTTTCAATAATTTAAATGTATCATAGTATTCTTAAGCAGGAAGCTGTGCAAAAAAACCCCTTGCCTGTTTTCCCTAAAATGAGTGGTTTTGAGAACATTAGAAGATAATTATTTTAAAAAGGAATATGCTATGTAGTTAAAACACCCAAGTGAACTACGGTATTCTAAATTTTTTTCCTGATTTTTATGTTCCTTTAATTTCAGTGTACCATTCCTGCCATAGTGAGGAGAAGTGCCCACCCTGTACGTACCTCACTCAAAAATGGTGCATGGGCAAACATGAAGTAAGTATTGGCTGCTCAGTAGAGCTGCGTGAAATTTTGATGGGTGTTTGTTTTGAAGCTGTTTCAACATGTTTTGAGCTCAAAACAGCGAAATCGAAATGAAACGAAAGGCTTTGAAACCATTTCGAAACGCAGCATGGGCACTCAAAACATTTCAAAAGTTTCAAAACATTCCAGGTTTCGAAGCCGGGCTTGCTTGCAGCTAAACAGAAACGAAGGAGAGGACAAGGGAAGAGGTGGGAAGGACTGCTCTGATGTTGACACCTGTAGCTGGCCAGTGACTATGATCCTTCCCTGAGGTCTCTTCGGAGGGAGGGACGGAAAAATAGCATAAAAAGTCACGCGTCACGAGTTTTGCTTGTCAGCACCTTGAAGTGCATTTTTCCAGAAATCCCTGCACCTTACCTCCTTGAAACTTGACACGCTTTGTGGCCTCAGCAGGGGCTACCATCCCTGCTGTTTTCATTCGAATCAGGAAAGAAATGACAAAGTTATAGGCATTTTCATGATTCTTCATTATAGCCTACGGTTGAATTGGCAAAACAGTGTTGAAACAGCAAAACAGTTTTGACGAAACAAAATGGAATAGTGCTTCAAAACAGCGAAAAAAACCACTGTCCCTTTGAAATGGCGAAACGGAAGTCAAATCGAAACAGTGCTGTTTCACGCAGCCCTAAGTGCTCAGTATTTTTAATCCTGAGTAAGCAAAAGTTGTAAAGTAAAGATTATCTCCAAACTGCAGTTTCTGTAAATTAAAGAAAACACATGATATTGGTTTCTCTCAAACTGCCAGTTTTTCCCTGTTTTCTGTAAAATAATGTGTTTCTGGTGTACAAGTCCTAACTAAAATGATCAGATGAATCTTTTTTACCACGTGCTTTTGACATGGATGCAGTTTGAAAGTATGACATTTGATAAATACCCATGTTTTGATTTTAAAAGATTGTGAAGAACTTAATGTATAAACATAGACAATTTTCTTCTAAAAATCCATTCCAAATTAAAATTTGAACCGTGAAAGTATTATAACTGAAGAGACAGCATTTACTTTATTAAATGCAAGTATTAATTTGCAACAAAATAATTTATTTTCACTTGTAACATGGCTCTCTTTCTTTCCTAGCTGCGGCATAATATTCCCTGTCATCTCACAGACATTTCCTGTGGTCTTCGCTGCAATCAAGTGTTAAAATGTGGAATGCACAAATGTAAAAGGATCTGTCACAAAGGGGAATGCCTCATAGATGAAGAATGCAAACAGCCATGTACTATTCCAAGAGTGTATTGTAATCATCCCTGTATGGCTCCGTGTCATCCATCTTTACCTTGTCCTACAACTTCTTGCAACACAAAGGTGATGGCTGTAGAAAACTTACCACAGTTCACAAGGCAAAATGTTTATTAACTGGTTTTAATCAATAGTGAAAAGTTATAACAAGACCAGTATAGAAGCTTGTGTTTACAAGTATATGCTTCTCAAATTGAAAATGTCATAAAAAGCCACTAGCCCTGTGGCTGAGTAAAACCAGATTCTTATGGGGTCCAGATTCTTAGACCTGGTCTATATGCTCCTTTTTTCTGTGCAAGTTGCACTACAACTTCCTACAGATGGGCTGGGATGTGTTGAAGGAGAAAGGTAGGGTACACTTGGTATATAATTTCTTAGGTATTTTAGGGCTAATGATATATAAGGGTAGAGCAGTCTGTTGGGGCCAAGCAACATGCAGTCAGTTGAGGCTTCCTATTTCTTTCACCCACCCACAGTGTCTGGGCTCTGTTCACAGGCAGGGGAAACTCAAGCTCAGCGTGTTTTACTGTAGTATAGGAGTGTCAGAGATGCATCCCGTGGACCAAATCCAGCCTGTAGAACCCTATCGTCTGACCCACAATGCTGCTTGTGGGTCTTGGATTGACACAGCACATGCAGGACCAGTTTGACACACATGCTGCATGTGGACCAGCCCTGCATGCTAAATACAGGGCCAGTCTGATTGGACCCACAGACAAGCAGTTTGCACTGGATCCAGCGCACAGGGCCAGTCTGTTGAAAACACATGCAGCATGCATCCTGGACTGGCCTTAAGTGCTGTGTGCAGCACACACCCCAGACTGGCCCCACAGGCTGCCTGTAGTGCTTGGACTGAACTGGCCTTGTGGGCTGGACCCAGCATGTGGATCTGGTCTGTGAGCCCAGTTTGGTCCACTGACCTGCCCTATACCCCTCATCTGACCCACAGTGCCAGATACATTTGCCACCCTTGTTAAAATACATGTGAAGAAATGTAATTACCCAGAACTTACCAGTAAGTCTTCCATGTCTCTCATACTAACTACATATAGAAATCATTTAAGCCTTATAATGAGAAAAAATAATTTCAAGGTTTGTGTCTTAAGTGGATTGTTCAGGAATGTTAGCACCTGCTTCATTACCAGAAAAAACCGCCCAAAAACTTGGTTTACCACTTTTGTGTCCCAACAGGTTGATCTTCAATGTGAGTGTGGAAGAAGAAAAGAGAGTATGATTTGCTCAGAGGCATCTAGTACATATCAAAGGTATATATATCCCAGTTATTCAATTCCTTGCCCTTTTTTTTTTTAAGTAACTTCTCTCCTCTGCAGTTAATCAAAGTTGGAGTTTCTTAGATGAACTTCATGTATTTGACTCATCTTCCTTTGTCATATGCCTTTTCCAAGTTAAATTTGCTAATTCCCCTGACCTCCCCAGCTCCCAGTTCTTCTATACTATTTTGTCTGTAGGTCTGTCTTGTAGAATGTTCACTTTCATGCTGTGAATGGATTGGAGCTTTGGTTGTATTCAAGGCTAGGACTTTTCAGTTTTATTCACATAGGGGTTTTTGGATGAAGAACTTAAAAGATTTTACAGTAATGAACATAATTCTAAATTAGCTAATTTCTCTTATTTCTCTTGTTTCCCTAAATTTGGGTTATATTGGGTAAAGGAGGAGTTGCGACGTTTTGAACTGGCAGACCATTGTCAACCAATTTATCATAAACTACAATGCATCCTTATTGATAAACTGCTACTTGAAATTAGACAGGGAAGTGCCTCGTGACCTGCAGTCTTTCGTACTGGGATTGATTACTTTAGAATTCTTCATAGGTAGTGCTCTTTTTTTTTTTTTCTTCCTTCCAAGACATGACTAAGGAGTGCAAAAATTAATCTGAATAGTTCTAGATGGGCAGTTCAAGCTTTTACAGGCAACCAAAGCTTTGCCTCTCTCCCAGTCAGTTGTAAGGAGCACTTCCACAGATTGGAGGGATAGGAAGGATCAGAGAGAGAGTTCATAGATGAGACCCATCTTCCATTTCTTATTCAGCACTGACGTTTGAGAAATTGATGTCAGATTATGAAATCTGAGCACTACTTGGGAAATACTGTGCAGCCACGTGTCCCATCTTTTGATTTGTACTTTAGGAATAAATATGAAAGAAGGCCCTACTTGGAGACGGTTCTCAGAACATTTAGGGGCTGCTTAGTAGTGTCATTGCCAAAGGTTAAGAAATGACCCTGAGACTAGAAATGGCATTAAGACCCAGACTCTTGCAAAGACTAAGTACAGGTAGTCTTCAGACTTTGACACAATTGGTTCGTAAAAACTGTATCTTAAGTCGAACCGTTGTAACTCAAAACCAATTTTCTCATAAGAAACAATGTTATAAATGGGGATTGGTTCCTGAACCAAAGCCCAATACCCTATTTTCACTAAAAATACCCCAGAATTTTGTACTCGATCAATTATAGACGAGTAATATAAATACATTAATGTAGATGTATTGTAAATAGTAATTGTATTGATTTGGAAGACTTCTTTGAGATGACTTTGCTGGACTTTTTGAAGAGTTCTTGGCTGGAGTCTTCTCAGGAGTCTGGGCTGCAGGTGTTTCTAGAGTCTTGTCTGCTTTCTTAACGAAAGTGTCCAAGGAAGTTTAGACAGATGTTCTCCAGGGAGATGAGCGACGCAGCAAACTTGTTTGCTGGCGTGGCATTGCATCAGATCAAGCATTGTAAAGTCGAAACTGACATCATAAAGTTGAAACAGGGTATCAATTTAGAAACGTAACTCAAAACGTTGTAAGTCAAAGATTGTCTGTATATCCTTCATTCACTGAAAATAGTCTCTTTGAAGCCATTGAGCATACTGCTGGAGCATAAACTCAAGCATATATGTTGAGCTTTGCAGGATGAGAGCCGAAGTCTCTTGGCCAGCTAAAAATTTAATGATGAGAGGGATAAACCAATTTAAGGCACCTAATATTAGAAATAATGTGTTCCAGTGCCAGTTATTCAAGGCCTTAAATTGTGTTTATCAAGTTAATTTCTTCCCCCACCATAATATATATGATCAACAAGTTAATATCAGATTCATTACTGTTCCAGTTCTAGGTGACAGATGCATAGTTTTTCAAGTTCTTAAACATTTAATTCCTGACTTATATAACACTAGCAAAAGCCACATTTAGTGAAGCCTTCACCATCACTGCCCAAATCATTTCTTGTTTCACTTCCCTGCATTCCTGGCCATCTTTATATACTGTATTTACTTGCATACCACAGCCATGCCTTTCTTTCTAAAATCAGCCCTCCAAAATTGGGGTGCCTATCTTAAGCGGGAAGCTGATTTTTATTTAGTTTTTTGCTGAAATTAAAAGTGGGGGATGTGGAGGGGGGTGGGGGCACAGAAGCAGCCAGATGCTGTGACTCAACTGCCAAGATGGCTGCCACTTTTCTGTGGTCCTGAAATCAGAAGAGGCAGAGCTTGGTGTAAACCCTCTCATAACCTGAGCACTTTGAGCTGATTTAGAGTAAGTTAACTGCTGCATGTAGTCTGTAGTATCTTGATGAAGCTCGTGGTGTGGAAACAATACTTAGTTATTCATAGAAACTTATAGATTTCATAGATATTTGGGCTGGAAGGGACCCCGGAGGATCATCGAGTCCAGCCCCCTGCCCAGGGGCAGGAAGTCAGCAGAGATCCTAGGATCCCAGCAAGATAAACATCCAAAAGTGTCTTGAAGGCATTCAAAGTGGGTGCCACCTCCGGCGGCAGTCCGTTCCAAACCTTGGGGGCTTGGACAGTAAAGAAATTCTCCCTTATGTCCAGCCTGAAACGGTGG